CTACATTCTTGTGCGTAATCTGTAATAATAATCACAGAATTTATGATTGCCCAGTTTTCAAATCAAAGAGTTTAAAGGAAAAATATTCACTAGTTGCTAAATATAAGTTATGTCAAAACTGTTTACGTCAAGGGCATCCTCTTAATGAATGTCGTATGGGGCCTTGTCGACAATGCAATCAACGGCATAATACTTTGTTGCACGATCCTGGCGTTGTTGTCGGCTGTTCTACCTCTGAACATGTTGATGGAGGTAGTGAACCTAATTCGGTTGTAACCTTATATAATGGTGATTCGAATTGTGCGCTTCTTTCCACGGCTTTGTTGGACGTCATCAATCCGGATAGTGGTGCGATAGAAAGAGTGCGTGCTCTGCTTGATTGTGGTAGTCAGTCTTCGTTTATAACAAAGTCGCTTACACAAAGGTTATCACTGAACACTGCACCTCTAAAGGCGGTTAATGTGATTGGAATAGGAAATAATTGCAACAATAAAATAAAGGAAAGTTGTTTGGCTAAGATTAAGTCTATAAATAGTACTTACCAAACTACCTTATCCTGCTATGTACTCGAAGAGTTAACAGGTTTGTTGCCAAAGACACCTGTTAATGTACAAAATATGAACATACCCAAAACCATAAGGCTTGCAGATCCTCAGTTTGCCCATCCTGCTCCGGTTGATGTTTTGATTGGTGCGGATCTCTTTTGGGACATTCTTGGCTGTAAGCAAAAATACTTGGGACCAAATAACAAAATACAATTACGAAGTTCTAAATTCGGTTGGATTGTTGCTGGTTCAACTAACTTATTGGGACATAATAAGTTTTTTTGCAATCATGCATCTCTCAATCAAAATAAAACACTTAAGGTTGATGAATTAATAACAAAATTTTGGGAGCTCGAAGATCTGCCACAAAAGACAGTTCTCGGCTACAATGATATTGAATGTGAAAAACATTTTGTGAAGAATACATCTCGTTCTCCAGAGGGCAGATTTTGCGTGAAGTTGCCTCTAAAGGATACTCCCGACTGCCTTGGAGATTCTTACTTTCGAGCCAAACAAAGGCTTCTAAACCTTGAAAAGCGATTTAAAAGAAATCCAGAGCTAAAATTACAATATACAAACTTTATGCGGGAATATCAAGATTTAGGTCATATGTCTGAATCACCCACGAAAGAACAATATCCATCATATTTTTTATGTCATCATGCTGTCTTTAAAGAGGAGAGTGAGTCAACCAAAATTCGAGTCGTGTTCGATGGCTCCTCTCCCACAACTTCAGGATATTCTTTAAACGATATATTGATGGTGGGCCCTAACGTCCAACAGTCGCTTTTTTCCATATTGGTCAGAGCCCGTCAACACAAATTTCTCTTGACCGGTGACATAGCTAAAATGTACCGTCAAATAAATGTCAATGAAGAAGACAGGGACTTGCAACTGATCTTGTGGAGGGAAAATGAGAATGAGCCCATTAAAACATGGCGTCTCAATACTACAACATATGGTACTGCAAGCGCTAGTTACTTGAGTACTAGATGTTTAAACCAAGTTGGAGAGGAATGTGGTGAACAATTCATCAAAGATATCATACAAAAGGATTTCTATGTTGATGATTTGATCACCGGCTGTGATAATGAACTAGAGTTACGTCACATACTAAATTCAGTAACAAACGCCCTAAATTCAGCATGTTTCCCCTTGAGGAAATTTAAAACAAATTCAAAGGTTTTGTTTGAAGATTCAGATTTGAGTTCTGCAGATGTCTTAACGTTAAGTGAGTCTTCGCACACCCTGGGTCTTGGTTGGGACCCTGTGAATGATACTTTCAACTTTCCAATCAAGGTTAATACTGACATTGATATAAGCACCATCACAAAAAGAATTATACTGTCGCTTTCATTTCAAATCTATGACCCGCTTGGTCTTTTGAGCCCCTGCATTATTCAAGCAAAAATATTAGTCCAAAGGCTATGGCTAGAAGGAATAGGATGGGATGAACCCATTTCTGTGGATCTTAGGGAGAAGTGGTCTGAAATCTACAATAACCTGTCTTTTCTTGCAAGTCTTCAGATTCCCCGCAGGGTGCTGTGCGAGTCTCCGACATCTTTTGAGCTGCATACCTTTAGTGACGCTTCGCAATGCGCTTATGGTGCTTGTGTATACTTGAGATCCACGAGCTGTGACAACGAGATCACGGTGAGGCTACTATGCTCAAAGTCAAAGGTGGCACCTCTTAAACCGTGCACCATACCTCGTCTCGAACTCTGTGCCGCATTGTTAGCTGCTAGACTGTCTAGGAGTGTACTTGATTCATTAAGAGGGCTCCCTACTCGTACGTTTCACTGGTGCGACTCGAGTGTGGTGTTGGGATGGATTAACAGTAATCCAATGAAGCTTAAGCAATTTGTTGCTAACAGAATAGGCGAAATACTGGAATTAACTAATCCCAAATCGTGGTACTATGTTCCAACTGACTCCAATCCTGCTGATTTAATATCTCGTGGAGTCAATAGCAACCAGCTTTCTAGCATGGAATTGTGGTGGTCAGGTCCTAGTTATTTAAAAAAAAATGAATTAGAATGGCCCAAATTAAACGGAAAAACAGTAGTTGAGAACTTACCTGAAGTCAAGGTACTCACTATTGCGATCGTAGATGAGGGAATACCCTTAATCGACTTTAATAAATTTTCGAATTTTGATAAAGTACGTAGAATTCTGGCTTTCGTGTTGCGTTTTTGCCATAATATAAATTCTAAAACTAAATCCATGAAGTATACAGGGTATTTTAGGCCCGAGGAGTTGCAAAACTCATTTATTTTAATTTGCAAAATTAATCAATCATTGTGTTTTAAGGCAGAGTACGAGAAACTTTTGAAGGGCGTTGCGTTGAGCAGTAAATCGAAAATTTCGTCTCTATCACCATTTTTGGATGAGCAGTTTGTAATACGTGTTGGTGGTCGACTTGGTTCCTCCAACTACCCATTTGAAAAGAAGCATCCCATATTAATTGACTCCTCGCATCGTTCGACAAGGTTACTGTTTGAACGTGAACACATCAAAAATCTGCATGCTGGTCCACAGCTTCTACTGGCTACCTTGAGAGAAACCGTTTGGCCTATTAACGGCAGGAGGCTCGCTAGAAGTGTCGTAAGGGATTGTCTTGTTTGCAGCCGTGTGCGCGGCCAAACACTTTTAACCAGAATGGGCGATTTACCTGCATATCGCGTATCAGTTGATTTTCCATTTAGGACTGTTGGCGTAGATTATGCTGGTCCTTTTCTTATCCTAAATAGAAAGGGTCGAGGCGCTAAAGCAACAAAGTGTTATTTATGTATTTTTATATGTTTGCGATTCAAATGTATACATTTGGAGGCAGTGTCAGATTTATCAATGGAATCTTACATAATGACCTTCCGTAGATTTGTAGCGCGTCGTGGTAAGCCAGCGGAGGTATATTCAGACAACGGTCGAAATTTTGTGGCAGCAGCCAAAGAATTGTCTAGTTTTTTAAAACAAAATAATAAACGTCTATCCGAGTTTGCATCTCAGGAGGAAGTAAAGTTTAATTTTATTCCGGCTTACGCTCCCCACTTTGGCGGAATGTGGGAGGCTGGTGTGAAATCCGCAAAGTATCATATTAAAAGAGTAATGGGAAATACGCATCTTACGTTCGAGGAATTTAGTACATTATTAGCACAAGTAGAAGCAATTTTAAACAGCCGTCCCCTTTGTCCCATGTCTTCCTCTCCAAATGACTTACTTTCCTTATCCCCCGGGCACTTTTTGATTGGAAGACCTTTGAATGCTTTACCATCAGCCGCACTGGAGGACCTGAAGGAGACATCTTTAAGCCGCTTCGCCCGTTTGGAGCAGATACGTCAGCATTTTTGGAGAAGATGGCAGAAGGAGTACATAACCGAATTGCAACAACGAACAAAGTGGAAGACAACAAGGGCGACGCTTAATGTTGGAGATTTAGTACTGATTCACGAAGATAATAATCCCCCGCTAAATTGGAGGATGGGTAGAGTTACACGATTATATCCTGGATCAGATGGGATTTCTAGAGTCGCTGATATTCATACCACTAAAGGATGTATACGTCGGCCGTTGGTTCGACTCTGCCGACTTCCCGCTGCTGTTGAATTTAAAGGTTGAAGAACTTGGCTCTTCAACGGGGGGGAGTATGTTCGCGCCCCTATAAACCCCACATATACATACATATAAAAGAAAAGGAATATTACAAATCATAGCGAAAACTTGCATTTATATAACGGATGGCGCCATCTATTGAATGGGACACCGGAGCGCTCTTAGCCCAAGCGTCATTGGTTGTCGCCGGCAGATAGCAGATGTCGCCCGCGTTCGTGTGTTCGGCTGGTTTTACCGACCATAATGTCATGACTTGTTAAAAATTGTTAAATTCTTTCTGTCAAGAAAACTGTTACTGCTAAATTGATTTTATTATAACATAAAGCGAAATTACTAAAAACACCGAGTTTTTATTGAAGAAGACTCCACTTCTATGCCCAAACACTCTCTTTTGCAGTTTAAAAATACTTTCAATATTAGCAGCTGCTAAGCTCAGCTGAGCCCCACAACAAAAGGCCATATGACATAACTCTACGTAAGTAACCAAAGTAAACCAATCTTGCCGTTTCCACATAAGTTAAATCTTATTTTTTAACTTTTTTTTAAATGGTTGTATATTATTTTCTGAAATATTTTACTTAGCATTGGTAATATAGATATAGGCCTAATATTGCTGGGATCTGATTTGTCACCAGCCTTAAAGAGAGGGTTAACTTTAGCACATTTCATTAGATCTGGAAACACTCAATACATTTGTTAAATAAAATGGCTAGTTGAGGCGCAATGACAGTGATAATCAGTTTTATTATATATTTTGATATTCTCCATAAATTCTTTGTATATTTAATATTAATTGAATTGAAAGTTTTGATTAGTGTAGAGTTAAAACCTTATTCTTATTTTCAGGGACTACATTGCTATCAAATGTACACAATCAGTGTTGACAGTGAGATCTTTAACTTACAATGAACATTTAACACAGAGTTATGCAATTGACTGTATGCTAGAACCAATATTTTGGTTTGTTGACAATTTTGCTGCATGTCTGGGAAAGGTAGTTTGCCATATTTCTTTGTAAAATTTTATTTCTATTAAACAATAATGTTAATGTACTTTACGTCAAAAACATAGTGTATTGTATTGTCTGTGGCAACGATATTAAATACCCTAGATATACCAACACGAACAAAATCCTGCCCGAAACCTGTCCAAAACGTACATTGTACGTTTTGTACTATCCACGGAGCTCTGTAAAATGATCGCGTATTAAAAAATAATATAAGGCATTATTTAAACATTGAAAGTCACCTTTAATGCATACTGTATAAGGTTTTAATTAAAACGCATGCGTCTAAGAGCTATGAGAGTTCGAAATGCAAGCTCGTAAAATTTTACGACTTATTGCTATATGCGGATGAATATAGACCCTATTTCTTTGACTCTATACACAATTCTGAATGGGCTGTTAGCAATATAGCAGGTACGGACCGCGAGGAAAAGAGACGGCTATATTACTCACCATGCATTTGAATATCACAAATATTTTCTAAATAATCTGTTTATAGTAAGTATTATGGCAAAAATTGGTTCAAATGGGTTGAATTAATAAACATTAATTAGATACCTGTCAAAAAACGACACTACATACTATATGTATTTTTTTTAACATTTTTTCAGGGAGCTCTGCGGCAACTTGACTTTTCAACGGTCCGCGCGTGACTGTGAACCAAGAAGTGCTTAAGTGGTGTTCAAGCACTTCTTGATTGGGACAAATTTTGAGCGCACGTGATGTATTTAGGGTATTTAATATCGTTGGTCTGTGTTTGTAATAAAAAAAATACATTATATTATATTTGGTGGTCGGTATGACACAGCTATTTTAAAATGGTATTATTACAGAAAATGAGGGATAATCATTCTCTTAGGCCAATATTAATAGATCGCTCTCAGCTCTGAGACTACGATATTGGGATAGTGTTTCCATACAAAACAGCATCTCTAGATCGTAATCAACTCTATTAATATGGACATTAGATTTGACAAGTGATAAAATATTTTTAGACAATGGTGTCTAGTTTTAAATTGTAACAAATGTTCAATTATCTGTTTCAGGTATTTGTTTTCTGTGTAAGTGTCCTCACCACTGCTGTTGTACTTATTGCATATTGGGTTGGCTTACCATACTGGTTGCAACGTAGCCCCCATTTTACAGGCATTCTAGTAATTTTTGGAAACTGGTTGTTGTTAAATATTATATTTCACTATGTGATGGGAGTTATCACTCCTCCCGGTTACCCACCTCTGGTAAGTTTTAATCAGTTCAATATGTATCTATCATTACGAGAATTTTTGTCAAAAGTTTGCGTATTGTAATTAATTTAAGCTGTCTGCAATCTTAAATTTATTAAAGCTATTGTAATTAATTTAAGCTTTCTGCAATCTAAAAACGGCTCACAATTTATAACGATTCTTAATTATCATCTGTCTCATCAAAGTTTATTTATTGTGATTTCATGTATGTTATGTTTTTTTCTAGGGTGCTAGAATACCTAATGCAGTTGCAATATGCAAGAAATGCATAGCTCCAAAACCACCTCGGACTCATCACTGTTCAGTGTGTGACCGTTGCATACTGGGCATGGATCATCACTGTCCATGGCTCAACAATTGTGTTGGATACTTTAACGCAAGATATTTCTACCTGTATATGGTCTACATGGTTGTTGGGGTTACCTTTGTCATAATGGCTGGTTTTGACATCGGCTATAATGTACTGTGGCTTAATGATACAGGTTATTATTCTTTTCTGTGTAGTTTCTTTGTGTACATCTTAATCTAAATTTAATTTAATATTGGTCATGTTTACCATTATTAAAGTGACTTTTTTATAACATCGCCACAAATTTTTTCGTTCTTCTTTAGCGTGTCACAGTACATTTTTAATTGTTATTAATAAATTCAAATCTTATCAGCAATGCACCGGTATTTAAGTGGTAGAAAGCTCGCCTGCCACCAAAGCAGCCCGGGTTCGATTCCCAGCCGAGGAAGGACATTTATTTATTAAAGAAAAGTTTCTCTAGCATCTTGGTTTCATAAAACTACACCAAATTTTTAATAAATTCATTCTCTTTCAGGTGGCATCATTCCAAACAATGACCCAGATCTCATTGGGCATCCTGTACGTATAAACCAAACTGGTGCTTTAGTACCAATCAAGGTTATCGTTGAATATGATTCTATAAATTTTCCGAGGGAACACGACTTACCAATCCCACCAATCACAGAATCACAGCGTATTTGCGCTCATCCATGGAAAAGGAAAGCAGTATTTTTTATGGCAGTCACTTGTCTCTCTGTGTTTTTTGCGCTCGGCACTCTAGTGATAATGCATGGAAAACACATAAGTCATGGCGAGACAAGTGTCGAAGCTCACATCAATGCATCCATACGGAAGATAGATAAGCGATATAAGAATCCCTACGATTTTGGCAGAAAAAAGAATTGGAAACTATTCCTTGGGTTAACTCAGGGTAGAACATTCTGGAGGCATGTTCTTTTGCCTTCCAGGCACCCCCCAATCGGGAATGGATTGCACTGGCATTCTGTGTACAATATACAAGAGGATTGGCCCTAGGAAATATGTTTTAATAGACTGTTATGAATTCTGTTTTGGACAAAACATTTTTATAAGGTTATAATTATTAGGTACCTATTGTAATTTGCTAATTTATGCTTAGCTCTAGCTTTAAGACCATTTTTATTCAGAAATTACTTACTTCGACTGTTGTAAATATGATTTTACATTCCTTATCCAACTTTTATGGGTACACGATGGACCATTATGCAGAATGGCTGATGAGTGATGCGAAGGTTAAAAATAGCTGCAATGTTGGTTCTTCGGCTGTGCATTGCAGGATATCAGATCTATAACAACGCCCTAAAGTGGCATAGACGACCTCTGTGGCCGAGTGGTTTGTACGCCGGGTTTCAAGGTGTCGTCGACTCGAGAGGTCCCGGGTTCAAATCCCGGTGGGGGCAGATGTTTGTGTGATGAATACGAGCATTTGCCATATGTATTTCTATATAAATATACTTATATATGTACAGTATATGTAATGTAATCTATCCTTTACCCTAGTATCCCATAACACAAGCCTTAAATTGCTTACTTTGGGGCTAGGCTAATTGGTGAGAGTGTTGGAAATATATATTTATTTATTATTTATAGAATTAACATGTGGTTTTTTTGTTTATTAATTCTTGGCCTAATATTGTTTAATGTAAAATGATACAGACTTTAATAGATAATTTGGCAAATTAGCAGCAATATAATCCTAAAAGGTTGAAAATTTTTATTATTTTCAGCAGTAACTGAATGTTGTTCAGTCTGTGTTAGTAATCTAATTTATACAATATAATATAATGACAAGACAATGTTGCACTTTTCTATTTGAGTTTTGCTATGATGTACTTTGAAAATCCTTAAATGTATGTACATACTTCAGATAATATCAATTTTAAGAATTCATTTAATGTGATGTCATTATTTTATAATAAAAGTGTCACTAGTCATTCAATTTACTTTTTACCCGACTGCGCCATGCAAGAGCGCGAAGCGCGACGCGCAGACAGGGTATAGTGTTTAACAGTCTATATATGTATGTTTGTTCCTTTGTGGCACACTAGAGACCAAACGCCTGAACCGATTTTGATGATTCATACATCAATGGATTCGTCTCAATCATGGGAGTGCTACTAAAGATATGATAGTAATCAAAATTCAATATGGACAAAATTAGGCGCCATATTGTGATAAAGTAAAAAAAAAAAAGTTGATAAACTATGTCGAGTGGGGTATCACATCACTGTCTAGATAATCGAAAATCATGTTTAGGTTCCTATCACCATTTTTCATTTTATATGATTGTTTAGGATCTATAACGCTTTAAAGTTATATATTAACCACTTGCGCTTTTAATTTCAATCTTACGTTTGTATGTATCTTTGTTACTCTTTCACCTAAAAAATACTGAATGGATTTTAATGAAACTTAACAGTAATATAGCTCATATATGATAATAACATATATATATAATAATTTATGTAGCTATTGAGCGAATTGGCCAAAATATAACAACAAGTGTCACATAAGAAGGAAAAAAAACTCCCATCTGCGAGCCATTTTGGCCTGCACTGCAAAAACAATAAAAGTTACATGAATGTAATGTGGAGTGAAAATGCATCTCTTAAATAGTTCTAATAAAAAAGGCCATGACGCCATATATCTATTTTTAATGTGTAAGCCATTACCGCTAAAATAGTGAATCAAAACTAAAATATTATTTGATATCTAATTCCAAAATGCACATTTTTTATTAAAAAAATATTTTTTATCAAAATAAATACTTTTATCGCTTTTGATATTTAAAGACTATAAACTTTGTCTTTTACACTATGTCATTTCGACAAATATTATCGGCCGTATCTTGATTTTTTCACAGCTTCTAGGTACCGTAGTAGAGGGAAAGACGGACAACAAAGTGATCCGATAAGGGTTCCATTTTTCGGTTCGAATTTCAACTCGATAGCTCCACGCGTTCCAAAGATAAAGGGCAATTATTCCTTTTGAGGCACGGCACCCTATTAATAATTGCTTTATTGCATTGAGAATCACCTCTTGGTTTTCATAGTAAGCCTTCCTTTTCCTTTGTAGCTGCGAAAACCCTCGTATTTATATCATAACCTGCAGGATGATTAAATTGATACCTCTTTTCACGTACTGACGTATTTTACTGACCAAAGTGTATATTACATGCGAATGGGAGAGGCGCGCGCGCGGACAAACGATATGCTGTCTGTATTGCCTATATTCAATAACAAATTCACGGATTCATGTATTTTTTGTTATTAAGTTAAACTAACTAAAACTAGAGTAAGGTACTTTATTGATGAAGTAAAAAATAAATTATATTTTTATAGACACTTAAAATTACCGGAAGACATAGAAACTTGGGAATACATGCTAGCTACCTTAAATAAATAATGTTTTTGGAAGTTTTTGTTAGTTCTTTGAAATGGCGCAAATGGGTTATCAGTTTCTTCGCATACCACGAAGTCCAAACAATCTCGAAAATAAAGTTTAGAAAAAAAACTTGCGGTGTCGTGCGTGGTCTCTATAAGTCTAACTAAACAAATAAACAACACCGCGTGCCTCGTGTCCGATGGCGGCGTCCCCTCACTCGTGCAATTACTCGGATGCCAGTACGTTGTCGTACCTTTATGCCCATTATTCAGCAAAAGAAAACGATCGCTAAAACCAGAGATCAATTGCACAAAATTACTAAAATGTATCCAGACAACCCTGAACTAAATGATCATTATATCAAATATCGTAACACTTGCGATAATACTGCTAAAATTCTAAAAAAATCCTACTATAAAGGCAAATTCAACCAACATTTTAACATCTCGTGCGACCGCCATCCGCCGCGTTCGCGACTCGTGCTTTGCTTACCCTGACTGGTGTCTTGGTAATCTTTCCGATTGAAAAACAAACCCCCCCGTAAGCAGAGAGTAATTTCACTGTGGTCTACTGTAACATATTTTACTTAACCAGACCCAGAACCAGACGTGTGTTCTAAAAAGGAATTAAGTATTACGATTTCGCTAAGTATCTACCTTTATCTTCATTTTCAAATGTTGTTTCTATTCTGTTCTAATCTGCATGATAATATTGATACAGACGGATTCCTAAGCCTTGAAGTTACGTATCTTGTTATTCATTTGAGGCCATGAGAACCATAGTGGCCTAACTCATTTTTTTTACAATATTGAGTTCATGATTTTTTCCAGTTCAAATTGATCATTTTGATAGAACCAGAGTGGTCTAAAAGTGATACAACGAATATTCACTAGATGGCAGCATAATGACTGTTACAGCTAAAAGCTGTCTGTGATCTAAATTTGAGGTGCCATACTGGCCTAAGTAAGATAGGCCACTATGGTCTCATGGCCTCATTTGGTACCTACCGGGGTAATTAAGTAATCTGTTACCTGGGGGATAACGCTGCGATGTCGCTTGTTATGAATACAGTTGTGAGGTTCAAGGAGCGTAGGTACAGTATTACTACATTTTCCTAACTTTTGGTGGTGTTGTTTCTGCTAGTGAGTAGGGTTCGCGTTCGCGGGGTAGCAGATTGGGTTTAGTACGGTTAGGTGGAATGACTGGTGGGGTGGGGTAATTTGATGAGCCTCTTTTAAAAAATCCCATTGAGCGACTTCAATCATCGTGACCCGTGGACTGTAGTGCAAAGCTGTCGGTTGTCCTTAATTACTCTTATAACAACAAAAGTCGATTTCAAAAAAACAAAAGCAACCACACTAGTTTTGTTAAAAGAGTTTTTATTTTTCAATTTTTATAACTCAAAGTAACATCAACTAAGCTACTAGTTATACTTTTTACCTCGATACCTACTAAGGTATTAGGGCTATATTATAATCATAAATCTATGATCTTAACCATATTTCTAAAAATAACCAAACAAAAATGAGTAAGGACTCTGTAATTCAGGAGTTCCGTTGTTTATCTCCAAAAATACCCATCAGAACTTCACCAAATAATATGGGACTATCTTGCCAAAAACTATTTCAGACAAAAAAAGAATCATACAGAAGAACCAGTCCAAGCATTTCGGACGTGCTCGAACAATAAAAAAAAATATACTAATTGAGAACCTCCTCGTTTTTAAAGTCGATTTAAAATAGTCACCTTTGGTAGCCTCGTTTATATTTGTAAATTTATTATACACAAATAAAACCACAATTGTATTTTTCATATAAGTATTATCATTTATATTTATCAAAATATTTTACTTACTGTTGCCAATTGCTTAATTTAGTTATTATTTTTACTACAAAAATTATTTGCATACACAATATAATGTATACAGGATACTACTCTAACTTATCAACTATATTGCACCAATCTGACTACGGCAGTATTCCATAGTTTTCAATCAGTTATAATTATAATATATAACATCTTATACCTTAACAATAAACTATGTAACAACAAAAAAGTAGGCGAAACCAGTGGTGTTAACCTTTCTAACAAACTTACAATTAATTGACTATTGATATCGAATACAAAATACATTTTCATTTGAAAGTTGGTACGCTCATTAGTAGTTTATGACACCTTAAAATTAAACTGTTTGATAAAGTATATAGGTATAAAAAATTCGGTACCTATACCTTCGATTCGAGGTTCCAGACCTTCGATCAACAATATGAATTTATTGATCGAATATTCGAGTCCCGTCTAAGACCGGGATTGTAGTAAAATTTTCTTTGGATTTTAATCTGCTTTTCTATTTACACATTCTCTGTGTGTCCACCCTGTGTCTACCCTAGGAAAACCATCTAATGTCCATCATAACTAGCAAGTTATAATGTTTACATATCTGCTTATAAACTAATCGTTCTAATGACTAGATTAGCATGAGGTCTTTTCGGTCTAACTACAGTATAGCAGCCATGCGCTTCCTTGACACTTAATTTATCTAGGCTGTCCTGTGAGGCAAATACGAACTGCTTGTATTTGGTAAACAAATTATAAAAGGAGATTGCTCAAATTGGTCTAAATGCACAAAAAATATTGACATACGCGGTAATTCTTGGCGTAATTTATAATTTAATTTACAGTCATTAGATTTCAACGGACACCTTTGTATCCTTTTACTTTAAAAAGGACTTTTAATTTTACCGGTTTGGAAAACATACGAATCATTTTTAATGGCTATGGGTGTAGTAACATTCAGCCAAAGACTGATCGAAGTTGTTTATATAACATAAAAACAAATCTATTTTGTAAAGATCGATAAAATAAATCATTTTTTTTATTACACTGTGGCATTAATATCCACAACTATATTATCATTTTCACTAGATGCAAATGTGCTCAGACAATTATTATAGATGGTAGGCGACATCATAAAGTCTATTATAAGCCATACATTTTTCGCCAAACACCTCCATAAACATATTATAATCTGTATATATGTTAGACTTTAAGGTATCTATCTATGGGCCTACGTTCCCTGACTATAAATTAATAAATAAATAAAATTATAAGGTGTGATACACTAAAAATCTAAAATATGGTTATCTTAAAAACATAACAAAAATAATGAAGCTACTGAATATATGGCTATAGAACCTAAATCTCTTAGCTTTCTTTGGTTAACGAGAGTTTAAAATTTCTCTCTAATCTGTGGCTCATTCACAATCATCACACAGTTTCTGTCACAGAGTACCTTATTATAACCGGAAATGACACCTGATTTTAAAAGTTACTCTTATGCATTAACTTTAAAAACAGGCAACTATCTGTTAATCTACATGCTCTATATACCTGGATCTAATCCATAATTTCGGTACTTGGCTTGGTTTCCCTAGTTTACTATATAATTTATTTGTTTTTTATTATTTTAATATGTTCAGTGTATATGGTTTATAGAAGTTCTCAGGGGTGGCCGTCTATAATATTCGTTTTAAAAAAGTAATTTATATATAATTTCGAATCTAGGAAACAATTTTTCATGATTATTGGTCTTTAGGCCAAATATGTATGGAAGCTGAGCAATCTCCTTTAAGTTCCTGCACGCTATTGAAGAGCTAGTCTTGCATATAGTACGAATGTAATGCGATAGATGTAATGCGAAATTACTGCGTCGAATTTTGTTTTAGAGCTAAACTAATTCCATGAGGGCTCAAAAAAAAAGTAATTTTACTGAGCCGGCTGGCAATTTTTTTTATGTAGGTATCATATTTTTAACCTTGTCGTTTTGTTGAGCCGAACTATGCCCACCCCTGGCTTAGAGAATTGCACGGCTGTAGACTTGACTGTAATTTTTAGTTATGGGAAAACTGTAAGTTGTCAGAACTTAGAGCCAAAGAGGTGAGGACACTGCGGCGCTGTGGATTAACTCCCAAATTCTCCCAGTTGATCCAGGACAGTCGAGCTGTGAGATCTGGAAATTAATTTAATTATGGTATTACAAGGGGTTCGTGAATTTACTAATTCTGCAGTTCTTAAATTTTAGGCGATATTACCATATTTAAAAAAAAAAGTTATGATGATGATTCACAGAGGCTTTTACCAAAGTCTGGATGGGGGCCTGTGCTGTTTTTTATAAACTGTTCTTCAATATTAGATTGAGGCAATGAGCGATATCTACGCCTAATTTAATTATGGTATTACAAGGGGTTCGTGAATTTACTAATTCTGCAGTTCTTAAATTTTAGGCGATATTACCATATTTAAAAAAAAAAGTTATGATGATGATTCACAGAGGCTTTTACCAAAGTCTGGATGGGGGCCTGTGCTGTTTTTTATAAACTGTTCTTCAATATTAGATTGAGGCAATGAGCGATATCTACGCCTAATATGTAGACCACAGATTGAATAAGAAATCGGAGAAATATTGCTTCCCTACAATATAAGTTTTCCAAATAAATATGTGTTTATTATTCGGTAGATATAATATTCAGTTGCTGGCAGTAAATAAACGTAAGAGAGCGTTTATGTCACACAAATGGGTAACTTTTATCAAGTTACTTACCACTAGTGTTCCAATGTGCACGATCAGCCTTGATTTCTCCGCGCAGACACTTTTCCACATACGTCAGGGGGTCGTATTCAGCATCGAGTACCTGCAGTGTCCATTATAATTTATAAACGGTTATAAGCCAGAGATTATAAATAACATACTTAACATTGTGCCTAAATAAGGCTCTGGTAATTTCGAAATTCACACTTCGGAAGAGTAGCACTAGGGTCAATATTGGTATAGATCGCGCCAACCTTCTAGTCCATCTGAACAATGCACAATTCGCGTTGAAGTAACAAAATACAGGTATATCGTCTAAATGAAGATTGGGTATACGACTGCACTCCTACACCTGCGCGAAGCAACTTCAGAGCGTACTACTTAACACGATCTGTACTAACATTTCGAGCTAATGTAAAGAAATTTGGACATAAGTTACCTCTCTCAGTAGAGCTATGTATGCGATGGCGAGCCTCAATGTATCGATCTTGCTGAGCCGCTTCTCGTAGGGGAACGTCGGCACGTGCACACGCAGCTCATCGAACGCCGAGTTTATACTGCTAAAGTCAGAACATCAGGCACACATTATAGCTATGGTCGTGATGATGATACATTGCAGCATTGTCACTTCCGGAGAATTCTCTTTCCAGCTCTGCTTATAAGAGGAGAAATGAGGTAGGACGACAGCGCCGAGCGCTCATTACATCCATCATCGATTTATACTAACAAGACTGCATCGAAAGTTATTCAGTCAGTGCAGAGCACAATGGGTTTCGGTACATACGACAATGTTTGATGGATTAACGGAACAGTTGATAAAAAAGGCGAAACTTTGGTAGGTTTTTGTTTTTATGAGTCGCTTTATCTCAAATCTACATTAAATAAAAAATTCGTAATCTGTGTACGCGCATAAATTAAGAAACACTGCACAAAGTTGTTTCTTTTTACACGACTGCTAAAAAAAAGTGTGTAGGTAATGTATTCAGGGTTCATGTATGTGTGTTTGTATATGTACAACTCTTTATTCCACCATAACTTGTAAATGCCTCAACCGATTTAAATGTGTGTGGGATCGTTAGAATCCTTTAACCACCCCGGGTAGCATAGGATACCTAAACTGTTATAATTGAAATAACAGCAATTTCAAAAAACAATTATTACACGACTGCCCAAGAAAAAAAGTGTAATCTATTTAGGGTTCATGTATGTATGAATGTACAATTCTTAATTCCACCATAACTGCTAAACGCCTGAACGCATTAAGTCGTGTGTGGTATCGTTACAATCTTTTCACCATCCCCGGTAACATAGCATACCTCAACTGTTAAAATTGAACAGCAATATCAATTATTTATGTCAATAAAAAGCAGTCGTGTTTGTTATTAGATCGCGGACAGCCAGTTCACTTTAATTTTTCGTTACATATTCTAACTGTCTGCGATGAGGGATGAGATATAACCATAACCCCTTTTTGTTTTTATCTAAGGATATATATAACCTGCTGAGAGACAGGTAGTGGCAGTGAAACTTAACAATAGCAATAGGTAATATGGATTTTACCACCACTAAACATCAGTAGAGTCATTTATGCCAAATCCAATCAAAGAAGTACCTAAAAAATAGTCAACCGTTTCCACTTTGGGAACGTAATCCTGAATAGAGAGAAATAATTTTACCATTGTAATTTAATAAGAAAGGTACATATTAAAAACATATTAACATTTGCGTATTTTTTGTGATAACGCACTTACTACATTAAAAAACAAACGCTTAAACTACGCAATTAAATAAGTTCTGCCATTCTGCTAAAATAAGTACTTACCTACGTATTTTACTTATGAACTACTTAGAGTAAATAACAAGTGTTATGAATCACCTAATCAAAATTCGAAGCTTAACTTAAACGTAGGTACTTACTAGTCACACATGGAAGAATTATACTCAGGGTTTCTCTAATTAATTTTTTTATTGATTTCAAAGAACTCGCATTTTATAGCTTCCAGTAAAAATATAGGTTACCTAGGTCGTAAGCAAATCGTAAAACCTGTTGTTATTAAAAGAGCTCTTAATGTAGGTATGGTGGAATCGAAATACAGAACAAAGCTTGGTAATCTGTGCGAAAAAAATATGAGGATAGATACTCGCATTATACTTTTTTATTTCAAGTTATTGCCACTTATTAACGTAGATACGTATCGCAACATTGGGTACTGCCCCTAGCAAATATTACTTGTGTCTGTGTCTACTGTTGAGTTAATACGTCAACTAGACCAGGGTCGATAATTTTTGAGACCAAAAAAAATTATAGTAGGATGAAACCCATTAGAAAAGGTAGAGAATATAACAAAAATGAAAGGAAAAATAAATTACGGGCGATCTGAGGTCGGGAAGGGGGAGGGGGTGAGTTTTTAAGGGTAAAAAATGGTTAATCTCGATTTCCGGTAAAACTGCAAGTTCTATGAAAAAAAGCTAAATGGCAAAGTTGTAGGTAATAAAAAGATCTACAACTTTTATATCGACACTTTTTTCACATAACCTCAAAATTTATGTGAAAAATGCGAATAACCGAGTTTTTTGTTTTTGATTTTTATTTTTTGCAAAAAAAAATATTTTTTCACGAAATTTACTGAAAACTTACCTTTGTATGTCCCAAATATACAGTAATTTTTTTGATTTAAAATATTCATTTTTTCACCTTATTTTGACTTAATATCGAAAAAGCACCCTTATTTTCAATCGAAAATTCTCACGTCAAAATATCTGCTTTTTTAAAAAGGTTGGGGTGTTTTTAGTTTGTTAAAATCTCTACTTTCTGATGGTATAAAAAAAATATACACTACTATGGTAAATGTTCTCAGAAACTGCAAATTGATAATGAAAAAAACTCCAATCCGAAAAATTGATTTGAATCATTATGTATAATTTTGAACTATTTATTAAAATTTACACTTTAATTACTCGAAAAACGTAAGATTTCATGTTATATTGATAAACTGAAAAATTACAAATCCATAAAACATGCAAAAATAGTTGTTGTAAGTAGGTATTAAAAATAGGATTTTCGGATTCGAGTTTTTTTTATTATTAATTTGCATTTTCTGAGAACATTTATCATAGTAGTGTATATTTTTTTTTATACCATCAGAAAGTAGAGATTTCAACAAACAAAAATATTTTGACGTGAGAATTTTCGATTGAAAATTACGGTGCTTTTTGGATATTAAGTCAAAATAAGGTGAAAAAATGAATATTTTAAATCAAAAAAATTACTGTATGTTTGGGACATACAAAGGTAAGTTTTCAAAAAATTTCGTGAAAAAATATTTTTTTTTGCAAAAAATAAAAATCAAAAACCAAAAACTCGGTTATTCGCATTTTTCACATAAATTTTGAGGTTATGTGAAAAAAGTGTCGATATAAAAGTTGTAGATCTTTTTATTACCTACAACTTTGCCTTTTAACTTTTTTTCATAGGACTTGCAGTATTACCGGAAATCGAGATTAACCATTTTTTACCCTTAAAAACTCACCCCCTCCCCCTTCCCGACCTCAGATCGCCCGTAATTTATTTTTCCTTTCATTTTTGTTATATTCTCTACCTTTTCTAATGGGTTTCATCCTACTATAATTTTTTTTCACTTTTCACCATTTTTAAAATTATCGACCCTGGTCTAAACGTTTTATCATCATTATAATCAGACTTCTATTGTGGGCCATGAGTTGGGCTTGATTCCAAGGAATGGGGCGGTTTGGCCATAACCCATAACCCACTATGAGGGCCTTATGAGGTTTTCAGCCGAGACCAACGGCTTAACGTGCCTTCCGAAGCACGAAGAAAATAAATCGATATAATGAATTTTTAGTCATCCATCCGATGCAACCTGTCACCTGCCAATGCGTAAGTAGATAACTTCCACGATCCTTCTAAGGCAAAACACGCTAACCACTTGCGCCATCGAGCTTTTTAAAAAAGTGTAGGGCGATATTTTATAATATTCATAAATCGTTAGGGTGTTAAGCAGGAATCGAACTTGCGTCTTCCACTGTCCTTCAATGATTGCTAGTCTCCTTCAATGCGTAGAAATGGCGCTGCCATTAGACATGGGCGTTTTTGGTTTTGAATGCAAACGGATATTTATCGGATTTCAGATTTCAAAATCGATTTTAAAATCCGTTTTTAGATATCCGATTTCAGATGTGCCGAACTAAGCCAATTCACTAGTTTGTGTTATGATTTGGTTTTATTAGCTAACGACAATCACAAACAATTATTGTAGGAAGCAAGGATACTCGTAGATTTCCTTCACGCTTTAAATCTAGGCTTAGGACTAGCAGAAAAGTTATGTTTACGGTTAAGAGTAAAACTTTTGCGGCGCATTTAAAAATCGGCTTATATACAATGATTTCTTTTTACATATTTTTTAGTATTTTTTTTTGTTTGTTTTTATTATTTTGCAAACCATTTACAAAATTAAACCTTATTACTTCAGGTTAGCGTTGTAAAATGTAAGTTGCTCGACTTTTGATGTTCTTAGACGGCATCTCTTTTCAGTGATAAATAATCCCGTCTTAGAGAAGCGCAATAGATTTCCGTAAACAGCAAACCGAAAACGGACTTCCGAAAACGAAAGCACGGATTTCGAATCCGATTTAAATTTGGATACTATGGTGGTATTAGATCGCTAGCGTTTTGGTTCGGTTAGATTTCTGAAATCGGATTTTCTTGTTGAGAAATCGTTCGGTATCGATTTGTGATTCAAATCGGATTTTGGATTCGTTTTGATATATCGGACGCATGCCTAGCTGCCATGCAGAGTAAGAAATATTAGAGGAAATCCGGCACGGTCGTTAAGGTCTCGGTGAAATAACGGTTAGTGGCCGAACACCGGATATTTTCTTTAGAATTGTAGGTAAGTAGTTATAGTAGATGGTGCAACAATATAATAGGCTACCCATTGGGGCCGGACCTCAGCATGCGACGGCGCTCGCGCACGTTGGCCGCCGCGCGCTGCACTCTGTACGGGGAGCCGCTGCACTGGAACTCTGGCTCCGCCGACGCCTCCAGTAGTGCTTCTGGGTACAAACAGAAAGCTTAACTTATAGAACAAACAACTTACTTTAACACTAAGAAGGTACTTGAATGACCAATAACGTTCCATGCTGAACTAAGAGCAAAATAAAAAATTAGAAAGCTAAGTACTAAGCTTAGGCTATGAAAGTTGAAGGGAAAGGAGATTGCTCAGCTTCCATACATATTTGGCCTAAAGACCAATAATCATGAAAAATTGTTTCCTAGATTCGAAATTATATATCAATTACTGTAGAAACGAATATTATAGACGGCCACCCCTGAGAACTTCTATAAACCATATACACTGAACATATTAAAATAATAAAAAACAAATAAATTATATAGTAAACTAGGGAAATCAAGCCAAGTACCGAAATTATGGATTAGATCCAGGTATATAGAGCATGTAGATTAACAATTAGTTGCCTGTTTTTAAAGTTAATGCACAAAAGTAACTTTTAAAATCAGGTGTCATTTCCGGTTATAATAAGGTACTCTGTGACAGAAACTGTGTGATGATTGTGAATGAGCCACAGATTAGAGAGAAATTTTAAACTCTCGTTAACCAAAGAAAGCTAAGAGATTTAGGTTCTATAGCCATATATTCAGTAGCTTCATTATTTTTGTTATGTTTTTAAGATAACCATATTTTAGATTTTTAGTGTATCACACCTTATAATTTTATTTATTTATTAATTTATAGTCAGGGAACGTAGGCCCATAGATAGATACCTTAAAGTCTAACATATATACAGATTATAATATGTTTATGGAGGTGTTTGGCGAAAAATGTATGGCTTATAATAGACTTTATGATGTCGCCTACCATCTATAATAATTGTCTGAGCACATTTGCATCTAGTGAAAATGATAATATAGTTGTGGATATTAATGCCACAGTGTAATAAAAAAAATGATTTATTTTATCGATCTTTACAAAATAGATTTGTTTTTATGTTATATAAACAACTTCGATCAGTCTTTGGCTGAATGTTACTACACCCATAGCCATTAAAAATGATTCGTATGTTTTCCAAACCGGTAAAATTAAAAGTCCTTTTTAAAGTAAAAGGATACAAAGGTGTCCGTTGAAATCTAATGACTGTAAATTAAATTATAAATTACGCCAAGAATTACCGCGTATGTCAATATTTTTTGTGCATTTAGGCCAATTTGAGCAATCTCCTTTCGAAATTATTGAGGGAGATGATGAAAAATTAAATTTATCCTCGCATTTTTACCTTTTGCTATTGTAATAGTAATCAGATTGATGATAACGCAGATTGGGAAAAAAATAAGCTACTCTAATCACTAATTCCACGCGGTCGAAGTTTGCTTTGCTTAAGTTGGGGTCTCTTACTATTACCGAAAATACTGCTACAAATGCTTGCTTTAAAGGGATGAGAGGATGAGATTGAGGGATACAATAAGATAGCGCACATACAAAACCGGCCAAGTGCGTTTCGTGCTGTGACTTGACCACGACTATATGACCCCCCCTGGCGACAAAGCTGGATCCGGCCCAGTTCGCGCCACGCGCAGTGTAGTTCCGTAGTTGCACGTAGTTACCCCAATATATTTGAGCAGGAGTCTTTATTTTCCATATCGGAAATTAGAAAAAACAATTAATATCAATCTATGTATCTCAACTAAAATACCTTAATCAAACTCAAACTGCGTCTCAAACTTAAAATCAATTCGCTTTTTTTTATACCGGCGTTTTTTTTGTTTCCTCCCAGGTGGAGGAGCGAATGTGAAAACCTCATGGATACCCTAGAGCCGGCTGCAAGGTTATGACAGACTCTTACTGACTAAAAGCTCCATCTGAAGCCGCATAACCGCCGATCTTTACAAGTGCTTAATATATACTTTTTATAAAAACGTAACGTTAGCGCGACTCATAAGCTGTTGCCGTTGGTACTCGCGATAGCGTTGTGAAACTGATGATATTTTATTGAGGTTTTTAAATAGTTGTTTTTTGGACTTTGTTGTAATACAAGGCTACAATAACTTCATCTATGTCACTATTATGGTTTCTTCTAAGGAATTTTCAATAGGTAAGAAATTTTCTTTAACCAAAGATGAACGACTATTACTCTTAAACCAGATAAACCTGAGCCTTTTCTTTCTGAAAATCTTTGACTTTAACTCCATTTTTAGTTGGATATGTAAAAAAAATATGTACAAAATTATACAAAAAATATTGATTACGCGACTTTCAGGAAACTAGCCGTTCTATATATAGGACAGTAGGATAATAAGTAACCAATAGTGTAAAAAAAATACTGAATTTTGCATTAATATCAATTACAATATGCATTAAATTCAGTGTTATTATTATTTACAAATACACTGTAATAATTTTACTTCATAATCCGTGAGGAATTTTGAAATTATGCAACACAATTTTTAAGTTTCATTCGATTCTCGAAAACCAAATAATGTAGATTTCGAATTGTTCAACTTTTCATTTACTCTTATTCGGTGTGCCGGGTTGGTAGTCTCTCTCTGTCAGCGGTGAAGAATGCAAATGTTATAAAAACACTGAACAACGTTTACATACACTTCACAGTTGTCTTGTTTAGTTGTGACACCTTGATACGGCTCAATCCACGGAACTTGTCCAGGATCTAGGGGTTGAATCCATAGCAGATTGTTTTTCCTTTGATGTTTGATTGCAACGTGGTTATTCACTGCAGGTCTCCTAAGAATGCTCAGGGTCACACAGCGAGCAATGGAGAAAGTGTAGGTATTTTCTTTTAAACTTAGATACCTAATATTTACCTAGCTCTGTCCTCCAAATTTAAGAGCTATGCTCTTGTCGGTGCAGTCTATGGATCGCTCGCCATCTCCCTCTGTCCTCCGCCAACTCTTTGAGCCCCCTGTGCGACTCGACGCCAAACTTTTTCTTGATTTGCTTAGTGTAGGCTGTCCTCGGTATACTCAATGTTTTTTCCGTTCAAACGTTCTCGACTAATTCCTCCTTGATTTTTATTAGTAAAGAATTGATTTTCATACATAAAATAAAATTTTACTCGTTCTATGCTCCTATGACTTTATTTTTTCGGTAACATGTGTTTCAAAGAAACTAGAAGCCCTCGAAAAAGTCCAAAACTTAACAATGGAGATTTAATAAGCAATTAATAAAAAATAAAAACATAGAGGAATAGTATAACTTATATATAATATACTTATTTTTCTTTGTGTAAAATTTCTATTACGTACCTATATCTAATTTTCGAGGAGGAAATCGTCGAGAGCTATACCTCGAATTTTGCAATTTTTATACGCAATTTTCAGCGTTAACTACTGTTGTCCCTATCGCACGGTATTTGTCAATACGTGACAGCAATAGTTTTTTCAAATACCTATTTCTCCAATGTCTCTCAGCTCGCGTCCGCTCTTGTTCGTTAATTCAACGCCCAGCGCTAATGCCGCTAGTGGCAGCCCGCAAAAGCTTAACACGACTTTGATAGAAAAAAAAATACTTATAGAATATTTATGAAATTAAGTAGTTTTATCAGTTTTAGGGTTTTTTTCTTATAACGTTTTTATTTTAGTTCTTTAGAACGTTTCTTTGCGTCACCGCGTAATGTCTCTGTTTAGTCCTATGGGTTGACTGGTGAGGCCTTGAGGCATTAAGTTCACCGTTTGTTGAATAACAATAAGGAGTAAATAAATAAATCAATATAACAACATATCTGTATGTAGCTGCCTGGTATGCTGGTGGATTTTTAAACGACTAGAGGCAGTTACAGCTGCCCCCGCGCCGCTGCGTACACGCATGACGCCTTCCTCGTCCGACTCCCGTAACAACCAAAACACCGTACGAGAATTTCAGACCCGAATATAGCAACGTACCTGTATGTAGCAACATACCTGTATGTAGCTGCCTGGTATGCTGGTGCACATACGCGGCAAGAGGCAGCTACAGCCGCTACGGCCGCCAGTGAGGTGCTTTCGTCGTCCGACCCGTCACCGTACGAGTATTACAGACCCGAATATAGCAACATACCTGTATGTAGCTGCCTGGTATGCTGGTGCACGTAGGCGGCAAGAGGTAGCTGCAGCCGCCCCCGCGCCGCTGCGTACACGCATGACGGCAGCTCGGACGCCAGTGAGGAGCCTTCGTCGTCCGACCCGTCACCGTACGAGTATTTCAGACCCGAATAGTCTATCCGTCGGTTTTCACTGGGAAATTGAAAATATCCCTCTTTATGCTGCGATATTGAACCTAGCAAGGGTTGTTTATCTTAAAATGAAACATGAAAGATTTTTTTTAAGTGCTAGTAAAACTATTCTTGTTTTATTAGCAAAAGTAACTACATATATAAACAAAACGTTGGTAGATAGGCATATCTCAGAGATTTTTTTTGCGTTAAGGTATGATGGCCGTAAAACCTACAATTGTTACCAAGATATTTTAAGTAAAAAAGCAGATTATGAATATGTACAAAACTTCACTTAGATAGCGTATGGCTTTCTAAATGGAAACTTCTTCTACAGACTTTAAATATCTAGTTATTTTTGTCGATCTAACACTGAAGTGTTAACATAGTAGGAAAAATGTTGTCTTTGATTTACATTTATAGCATTTCCAACACGGATTTAAAAATGTCTGATTCACTAGGTAAATATATTTTTTGTAAGTAATTAAAACTTTGTATAATCACTCGTTTTCTTGAATTCGAAAACTATGGAAATAAAGAAACAGCCGTATTGGGTTCAAAGCAAAAATATTTGATGTTTGATAATTTGTAAAAAAAGGCTAATAAAACGTCACTTCTTATATTGTCTTTTTTAAATTATTGCTACATAATATGCATCTCTCGGTCTCTTACATAAATTCCGTGTACTTACTACAATTATCTATTCGTAACATAGTAACAAGACTACGGTATATACCGTCTTAAAATACTAACTAACTAAAAAGTGTAAAGTGAGTAAAAACTGAAATGAAAAAAACAAGTCCAGTAGTCTATAATTCTGTTAATAAGGAACAAAGCTACTTTAACAGTCGGGACCCATTAGATATTTAAGAATACATAATATTTTTCAACAGTGGGTCCCGACTGTTAAAGTAGCTTTGTTCCTTATTAACAGAATTATAGACTACTGGACTTGTTTTTTTCTTTTCAGTTTTTATTTGAAGTACCTATAATTAAGCAGTCGGGTTTTTTGATTTTTTAAATTTACCTTTTTTATTTCACACTTTTTAGTTAGTTAGTATTTTAAGACGGTATATACCGTAGTCTTGTTACTTCAGTAAGGGAATTAATATCGCGGGAATTATTAAGTACCTTGCGTCGGTCTAAAAGATTGATTTATTAAGACATATAGAGACTTTACCAGCGGGGTCAAGGCTACAGATGGCCTCAATTTTCGCAAAAATGTGTGAAGTTAAATCAAGTCGTTACATACAACTAGAACTTACTCAAAAAGTCATCTTTTGTTTATGTTTTTTTTTTAATAGTTTAGCAGTAAATATAAAATTCATTTACTTTTATTCGTCGACTATTTAAAATTGGCAGTGGCTGCATTGTCATGTCAATGCCGGACGTCTGAGATTGTGATATACACAAATGCAGTGTCAGTCCCTAGTCTCATAATTTGATATACCTACATAATTCACAGAAACCCAATATGTAGATGCCAGAAGTTAACTTCAAATGTTTTTAATCACCCTATATACAATACCAATCAATGACTCACTTTACTCAGTTTATGTCGCAGGTTGAAGAAAGCAGTAATTCCCGTTTGTTGTTTTGGAAAATGGTGGCAACTGCCTTAGATCACTAAATTAAATAATTATGCAATCACCAAAGCAAAGTTTATAATATTTGATTAAACTAAAGGCGCATAATAAAATTTTCATAACGTTAAGTAGAGCACCATAGCAATCTCATTTATTATCAATTTATAGTTCTCTTTGTAGTTTTCTTTTAAAGCGTTCACATATAACAGGTCAAAGACTTTGTGATCGACCCTTTTTTATTGGTAGTGTAAAGCTCGAATGAAGAGTACTCCCAGTAGGGCAATCATGTCAATTATTTTCCAATTTTTTTTTTGTTTAAAAAATACCGAATAACGTATCACTGTTAAGCACAAATGCTAAGTAACTTTTACAAATATAATCAAATAAACCTATTACTTACTTTATTTTTAAATCTTTTTCATCAATTAAATACTTATCTTATCGTAACTATCTATACTAATATTATAAAGAGGCAAGATTTAACAAATAATCTGTCAAACTACTGAACCGGTTTCAAATATTAATTCATCATAAGGTAGCTACATTATTTATTATTACATTTTTCTTTATTTAAATACATTTTGTCCGAGTGACATAGGCTATATTTTTTCCCGATAAATAAATTTTGCCCGTACAATGCCCGGGTGGATCACTAGTAAGTATAATATAATATTATAGATGTGAAAGTGAGTTTGTTTGTTGCGCTTCCGTGCCCTAATAGCTAAATCGAACATAATGAATTTCCATATAGAAGTAGATGGGAACTTGGTTCTTAGCTACAACATCGCAATACTTATAGGCGTAGGGTAATGAAAGGGGTGATTTACCTATAAAAATCTACATTATTTAAGTACTTTGAATTTTGCAGAATTATTACAAAACCAATATTATCGCGAGCTGATTAATAAATACAGGGATTCCAATAAGTATGTACTTACTAGCGAAAATGGGTTATTTGTCATTATATTAAGTAAACCTTTTTTGTAACATTAAGTAATATCGTTAAAAAATGAAAAAGTAAAATTCTGAGTTTTTCATTAAAATTCAATAATCATGAATACCAATTATGATAATATATTTTTCATCATTTAATAAGAAAGAACTGTGTCACAGTTTTATTGTTAGTGCTTCGTATAGGATCAGATACTGCGAATAGCCCATTTTTTTTTCTTTTACATAGTACACCGCGCTATCACTTTGTCATCGTTATAACTTTTTAAATATTTGTCGAAATGACATAGTGTAAATAGCAAAGTTTATCGTCTTTAAATATCAAAAGCGATAAAAGTATTTGTTTCGATAAAAAATGATTTGTTAATACAAAATGTGCATTTTGGAAATCGATATAAAATAATATTTAGTTTTGATTCACTATTTTAGCGGTAATGACTTACACATTAAAAATAGATATATGGTGTTACGAACTTTTTTTAGAACTACACACATCAAAAGTGTCTAGGGATCAACATATATTTTTGCAATAACTTTTCTCCTGATTGATATTAATTAAAATTTTCTTTAAGGATTCATCAAATAAAGTGTTTTCGTTTGTCACAGTAACGATAAACCAAGTCACCTTTGCATTAATAAAGAAATTTGCCATTTTCCTAATAAAGGGATTTTTGACATTTGAACCACTAACACAAAAGTTCGAAAAAAAGACTGAAATAACAGTTTTCTCTAAAATTTTATTGGGTAACTTAAACAATTAATAATCCGTATTTCTACCGCGAACACTAACAACACAAGAACATCGGTTTGGCATACTCAAAATGAGTTCATCCAAATCACGCTGTGGAATGGCCGCCCATGTTCGTTGCAACAACAAAAAAAGGTCTTCTTGCGACTGGATACCCTCCATATTCGGCAGAGCTCTTCTCTGTAGCATATCCCATGCATGCTCAATCGGGTTCAAGTCTGGCGACTGAGCAGGCCAGGGCAGGACATTGATGTTAGCTGCGGCGAGAGTCTGTCTTACAACTCTTGCGGTGTGCGGTCGTGCATTATCATGCATTAACTGAAATAAGGGACCGATTTGCACTTGTAGAGGAACGATGACGTCTGATACAATCGTCTCAGCATAAATTTGAGCGTTGAGGTTGCCTCTGATCCAAATCAACTCAGTTCTTCCGCCGATCCAAATACCCGCCCATACCATGATGGTTCCACCACTATAAGGATGGACTTCCTGGCAGGATTTTAATCGCTGTTGGCGTCCAGGGGTTCTCCAGTGTCGTATACGTCTTGTATCCGGTCTCATACCAAAACGAGACTCATCAGAAAAGCACACGAAACGCCATTGTTCTTCTGCCCAATTTCTGTGTTCAAGAGCCCATTGATATCGAATCCTACGATTGTGCATTGCTATAGGTGGTACCCGTAGCGGTCTTCGGGAATGAAGGTTCACTTCATGCAAGCGGTTTCTGACTGTTTGGTCGCTAATTAAGTTCCCTGAAGAGTGATGAAGCCTCACGGCTAACATCATGGCGGTTATTGTTGGAGCTCTTCGAGTTAAGATTTGAATGTATCGGTCTTGTCTCCGTGTGGTGCAGCGATACCGTCCTCCATGGCGCTCAGCCACGGTACCAGTGCTTCGGTATCGTGTCCAAAGTCGACTGATAACACTCTGACTTGTATTCAGAGCTAAAGCCACAGTACGTTGCCGGGAACCAGCTTCTATCATTCCCACGGCTCTGAGCATTTCTTCCCTGCTTAAATGACGTCGCCGCTCCATAATAACGTTGGTTTTAATCAGTAGTAGGGAAACAGTAGCACTAATAATGTCTTCAATGCGTTGTATGTTTTTATAGGGAAAATATTGACAGCTGATTTTTATCTTTTACTCGAATTTGATTCACAGTTCCTGATTCAAATTATGAAATGCACCAAAAAGGATCCATATAAATTTATAAAATCATAAATTTATTACAAAGCCACATCTCAATCTCAAGAAATCCGCATAAAAATGCTTGATCCCTAGACGCTTTTGATGTGTGTATTTAAGAGATACATTTTCACTCTACATTACATTCATGTAACTTTTATTGTTTTTGCAGTGCAGCCAAAATGGCTCGCAGATGGAAGATTTTTTTCCGTCTTATGTGACACTTATTGTTTTATATTGGCCAATTCACTCAATAACTACATAAATTATTATATATATGTAATTATCATATATGAGCTATATTACTGTTAAGTTTCATTAAAATCCATTCAGTATTTTTTAGGTGAAAGAGTAACAAATATCCATACAAACGTAAGATTGAAATTAAAAGCGTAAGTGGTTAATATACAACTTTAAAGCGTTGTAGATCCTAAACAATCATATAAAATGAAAATTGGTGTTAGGAACCTAAATATGATTTTTGATTATCTAGACAGTGATACCCCACTCGACATATTTTGTCAACTTATTTTTTTTACTTCGTCACAATATGGCGCCTAATTTTGCCCATATGGAATTTTGATTACTATCATATCTTTAGTAGCACTCCCATGATTGAGACGAATCGATTGATGTATGAATCATCAAAATCGGTCCAGGCGTTTGGTCTCTAGTGTGCCACAAAGGAACAAACATACATATATAGACTGTTAAACACATAACCCTGACTGCGCGTCGCGCTTCGCGCTCTTGCATTGCGCAGCCGGGTAAATATATTATTATTATATAAAATATATAATTAAAATATACAAGTATTTTATTTGCGCGTTTCGATAAAATTCGATTACGAAAATAAGGCCTGAACAAATCATACTTATCATTGGCCTGAAAAAAAAGCTAAATTGCAAAAATAACGCAAAATTAGATCAATTTAAACGTTTTAAACCTATGTTTTTTACATTGGATAATTGAAAAGTTCTTTTAGGCCTTCATTATCAGTCTAAATGAAATGAAGACTATTTAGTTTTTATAGAAAACTGCAAGAATCTTTCTTTCTAAAAGAGTTAATTATATTCCATTTAATGATTTTATTGAAGTTGGTACCGTAGACCTACAAACTACTCTTGTTCATAACTTTAAAGTTTAATTGAAGTTGAAGCTATTACAGAGATGATGTTAGTGTTTTATCATAGTTCGTAAGGGTGACAAGTTCATGAGAAAGGAAAATGTGTGTTTGTGTGTCCGGCACCTAAATACTAAACATTAAAAAAAAACTTTGCTGTATGTATAAAAAAATAACATGTCTTCTTTTATAAAATTTTGGAATTACAATGTATTTACAACCTTAGTACTTACGATAAAATTAATAAAATGATCAAATTATTTAAACTTCTATTGTATCTTGTCCAGCTTAGGAACATTTATATCCACAGTATAAATCACTAGTCATCTTGAGCAAGAAACCACAAGAAATTGTGTTGCAGTTAATGAAGCAATATTCGCTGTTAATATTGATTTATATCGTTATTTAACCCTTTAACCAATAAATCAGCAAATCACATTATAGTAATAAAATTCGCTTGAGCAGCAAACAAACACGACAAGTAAAACAACTTAATTTTTAAAAGTTTTTTTGCAAAAAATTTACAAATTGTATTTTGTGTATTGGTCAAATAGGTATCTATGTTGTTTAGTAATGTTTATATACGGAAATCTAAAAATGCGTTATTTTAAGAGCACTTAGAGGTAGAAAAACAGGTAAAATCACATTATTAAAATTAACCCTTAGTCCCTTACCTAAGCGGAGGCGATGTAGAGGAATCGGCCAATTGTGTCTTGGCACCGGACATAATCAAATCTGGATTAGTGAACACTAGCATACACTTTGCCGCAGGGACCTGCGTTATCACTGATTATTGAAATTGTACTGAGCCTAGAGGGAACATGGAAAATAATTTTATACCGCAGGGGGAGGCCATTTTGTTGAAATTTCGGGTTAACTGTTGCGAAAGCGGCTCTTATTGTGTCTTATTGCAATATGGACTTTAATGGGGTGATATCTTAGGGTGGAATTTTGTAGAGGAGAGCCGTCATCGGTTTCCTGTGTGTGGTTAAGACCCATGCGGAATGGGAGGTGCTCTAGGATTAGGGGTCGAAATGGGCGGGGTGAGACATTCACGCACAGAAAGCTTTAAGTGAATTTTTGAAATGTTTTCAGTGGCTATGTGGTTAATAAATACATACGTACATTTTTATTATCTTCGATAGAATTATGATAAACCATTATGAGTAGTAAGTAAATATTTATATTGAATAAAAACTACTTTGCTTCCGCGAGTGTAAAATAGTTGTTTGTACAATATAATTATAATTATGGTTTAATAGGTATACTTAGTTTAATGATTTATATGAAAATACTTTGAAATGGATTAATCGTAATCGTCACACATATTCTTAGGCTCGTATTACAGAATGACAACTAAGTGTTGATCTTTACTTGAGTACAGTAAGGAAGGGATGTCGCTATGTGCTATACAAAGTGACATCCCTTTTTAACTGTACTCAAGTAAAGATCAACACTTAGTTGCCATTCTGTAATACGAGCCTAAGAAACTAACTAAGCATTCATTCGACCACAATATTATAACCTCTACCTTATTTATTAAATTTTTACAATAAGGGTTACAGTAACACGCGTTAAAAAAATTGGTACCTCTCTTCCTATTTCCGTTTTAGAGATGCCACGTAGCGGGCAAACAGACAAATAACAGATGACGTTTTTCACTCTTTGGGTACAGCTGTTCTGTAAAATTTTCCCATATAGATTCGCGATAGATTGAAAATTTTACAGAATAGCCCCGCAGAACTTTGAATTTCACGAAGAAATACAGCTATCTCACACTTAGATTTTGTTTCAATCTAAAATCTCAGAAAACAAATTTAAAAATGGTTGGAAAATGATAATTTCACCAAGTATTTTAATTTATTTTTATGGTTTTTTGAAACGAATCCTATAGGAAGTTTGTATATGATATTAAGAAAGGTAGAAAATGGAGGGTTTTCCATTTGAATCTGAATAAGTAGCTTTCACCTTACAGAAGGTTCATGGAGGAATTACAAAGTAATACAAACATAAAATATATTTTCTTAAAAGATTTAATCCTATGTATATTTTAATTGCTTTTTAGTATATTTTATGGTTTGTATGCAATACAACCAAGTAAGTAATTTACCAAGTAACTATGAAGAATATTCATATAAAATAAAATATTTTCGCTATACCTCCTTTTCCCAGTCAAACCGTAGGGTGGGAGGGAAATATATGGCCGATCGATAAAGAGGGGCCATCCCATTGGTGAACCAGAGGGCTGTTCATGACAGCTCCATAAAACGCACGCTCCTCACCAAGAGGCTATCGTCTAGAGATGAATGTTCATTAAGATGGTACCTCTACTATGTAGAAATATATATTTACTTGGTTTAGAAAACACTTATAATTTATTTTTATCTTCATAGTTAATACATACTAAGGCTAAATTTGCATTAAAGTTCTTAAATCAAATTTAAAAAGTGCTCTCGTGCTCTTTTTTCAAAATTTTTATTTTTTTACCTCACACAAACGCCTTCTTTTGGTTCTTGCAGATTCCCCTCCTGATCCTCTTCACCAAAAATGTCTTCTGGAATAAGTTCTGAGCTTTTGAACGGTTATTTTTTTCCAACATAACAATTCTTGAGTCTTCACGAGAGGTAGTTTTTGAGTTTTCTAGGTAAGTATTTTGTAGTATTTTACTTCTTAATTATTCTTCTACTTCGTAGAAGAGGTTGTGAAAGCAATTCCAAGTGAAAAACAGTAGCAATGAAACATACAATCAATATTCATCAGCTTCATGAATCTTTTACGGAAGCATGGGAGCAAACAATAGAAACTGGCAGCAAATTGATCGCATCAATGCCAAGGCGGTGTCGAACTAATAGAGCTTCCAAAAGGTATGCAACTAAATATTAAAAACCTTATTATTTTATTAAATAAACTTTACATTTAATTATCATTAATATTAATTTACACTTTTTGACAAAATTTCTGTATTTTTTATTATTGAGTTTCCCTGTCTATAATTAGTTGACCAGTAGCTATTACTTTTTCATTCATTTGGAATGTTTAAACAAATTAACCTACCGAACTTCCGGAGCAGCGAAATTGAAAGTTATTTATTTTATATTAAAATAATTACAAAAGATCCATATATTCAAATTTAGTTCACTTTAGTAAGCTATTGTGTAATTATTGAAGTTATTGCCTAAATACAACGTATATTAACGTGTGTTTCGTAAAAATTCGTAAATTTACGAAATACACCATTATTGTCTCATGTAGAGTAGTTATACAGATAAATTTTATTTTCACAACAAGTTCTACGGGTCTGTTTAATTTTGTGTAACAGATATTAGAAGAAGTTTATTTTTAAACTAAGTAGACTAGACAGTCATTTTAAAATATTCGGTTAATGGATTTTGTTTGTCAAATTTAACTTTTATAAGCTTTTATTTAGTTACACCTGCACTGGCAATATAATCTAATGATTAATACCAATTTAATTTTATTATTTTAAAAGTTGAATGCGTTCGCCTTTTTTATATAAACAGGTAATTTTCAGTGGTTTAGTTTTTATGAAAAACATTTTTTTACTGTAAAAGTGTTTGCATTTCACAAGCATTTATTTAATTTTCAATATTTGTACGTACATATGCTCGGATCATATCTTGCAAGAGTTACAACTGATTTTTAAAGCAGTTATTTAGATAGGTAGCAGGAGTTAGAGCAATTTTATACATAAACAAAAATATATTATTTATCTTTGAGGAGGTCGATTGTAGGTATATCTCCGAAAGTACGCAACCGATCTTCTCCACAATTAGGTTATACTAGCAAACCAGTGAACCAAATGTTCACCAAAACCTGATTAAAAAAAAAATGGTTGCCTGTAAAGTCGGTTTTACGGGCGAAGATTTTACGTGACAACGTCTTTTTCTCGGTAGAATATTTATTGATATGAATATAATTAAATTGCACAATAGGAACAAGGAATTGAATGAAAATAAGAATTGCACAAATTTTAACTATAAAATATATTTTGTTTACTAAAACATTGTACATGTAAACTTAAACTTAACACGAGAGACTCATCGTAACGTTACCGAGCGTTACACTTTTTCATAAGTGACTCCCAGCCGCAACCTAATTTAAGACGTTGTCACGTCAAAAAAAATGTATTTAATTAATTGAGAACTTCGGAGATTTTGTGTGGTTTCGTTTGAAATTCGTGATTTCTCGAAAACCGGAAGTGCTACGTTACTCAAATCCGGTTTGTAGTCTTATCAGAGTATTCTTAACTTATAACTTAAATATTCTCTTTATCTATATCTTACGGTTTGGCCGCTGAAACAGCACCACAGACGGACGGACTTGTCTAATAAATAAGAGATGAGATTATATCTAAAATTAAATAGGTAATAAGGTAAAAGTGGATTCCAAGTAATTAAATACATACAATCAATAAACAATACTAATGGATAGCGAATGGAGAACCCACTTCCCTTCACTAAATTATAAGGCACTTTTTTCTATTCGTTTCTAAGATTTTTTTTCTGATAATGGTGTGATATTAAAGTGCTGTTGGAGAGATTTTGGTTCGTTAAGGATGACCTAACCCATACCCTAGGCCAACTCGGGATACGGCCAAGGATAATAGTAAAGAGCGGGGAAGAAAAGAATAGATGACGACTGAGAGAAAATCTGGAGACAGCAAGAGAGTATGAAAGAGAAGATAGGAAGTTGGGATAGAGAGTAGGGGGTGTAAGGGGTTCTAAATACACCTGCAAGAACCCAAGCCAACCTCACCTTCACGCGGTGCACCCTGTTGACCAACAGACGAGGCTCTGGCAAACCGACCGATGGCGGTATAACCATCCAACGACGTAGGGGAGGGAAATCTCACTGGTGACGGGCAGCAGCGTCATCAGTGAATTAACCTACGTTCTGCGATCGCCAACCCGCCTGCCCAGCGTGGCGATTACGGGCAAAACCTTCAATGCAAACAGACCACAAGCCACGGCCCCCAGTTCCCGGCAGCTCCGCTATTCCTGGTCACGGTGGCGACCACGGTGACGGCGGGGCAGGGGGTGCCAAGAATCTCCGGGCTACGGGAGGCCACCACAATAGACTGACCCTGGCGACGTACAACGGACGCACGCTTCGGCTTGACTCGCATCTGGCGCAACTCGAGGTGGAACTTGGGAAGATTAGGTGGCACATTTTAGAGTTAAGTGAAGTCCGAAGAGAAGGGGAGGACACCATAACGCTCGAATCGGGCCACCTAATGTACTTCCGTGGGGGAGTCCAACAGTCCCAAGGTGGCGTTGGGTTTTTGGTGAATAAGTCCCTTGCCGATAACGTTGTGGAAATGTCCAGCGTGTCGAACAGGGTAGTGTACCTCATTATAAAGCTCACCGAGAGGTATAGCCTCAAGGTGGTGCAAGTGTACGCACCGACCTCGATACACTCTGACGACGAAGTGGAGGATATGTTCGATGATATATCGAGGGCCCTCCACTGCACTACTAAGACCCACTACAACGTTGTTATGGGTGACTTCAACGCTAAAGTGGGAGTACAGAATTGCAGCGAATCGGTAGTAGGATCCCATGGATTTGGAAGCAGAAATAATAGGGGGCAAATGCTCGTCAACTTCCTCGAACGGGAAGGGCTCTTCTTGATGAACTCTTTCTTTAAGAAACAGCCCCAAAGGAAGTGGACGTGGCAAAGCCCCGACACTATGTCTAAAAATGAGATCGATTTCATCATGATGGACAAAAGGTATAT